TGAACGCGTCGAGTTTAGCTCGCGACACTGCTTTCGTAAGAGCGTCCGCAAGCATGTCGGAGGTCGGCCTGTAAATTAACTCTATGGTCCCCTCCATCACAATTGTATGATACTTGATCTCGATATGCTTGGTGCGTGCGTGACCATCGGGTTGTGTGCGAAGGCGATGGCGTCTTGATTGTCCTGAAAAACCACAGTCGCATCTTTTAGCGCTTGTCCTATCGTCCTCAGGAGTGGACGCAACCACACCACTTCTTGAGCCGCATATACCCGCGTTGTTTAGCTCCAATGTGCGTCAGGCACGGTCGCGTTGCACTTCTATACCCAAAAGCTCGTCGCGCACCAATGTAATGCCGTCCAGTTTCGGAACAATAACAATCAAATCGTAAACATTAGCAATCACTGCGCAAAATCCAACACATGATGCAATCTTGAAGAAAACGCATGGATCAGCCTTAAGGGACTCGAACCCTCGCTTATTAAAATGACTGCATAATGTCTCGTACCATGCCCGTGCGGCCTGTTTGGTACCGTATAACGCGTGTGGCAAGAACCACGCCAGACCTGGTTCAGATACGTCTTCACAGCCAAATGGCTGACGTATATATACTTCTTCGTCCGTGCGGCCGTAGAGAAATGCGGTGTCCACATCAAACTGCTGTGTTTTGTAATCTAGCTGCGCCGCCACTGCAAGCATGCATCGGAGCGTGTCCATGCGTGCGACAGGTGCTAACGTCTCGTGATATTCCTTACCCGCCCGTTGCGGGAAACCTTGTGCAAACAACCGGGCCTTGTAGCGAGAAACAGTTCCGTCCGCACTACATCTTACCTCGAGTACCCAGCGGCATTTGATAGGTTTCTTGCCAGCCGGTAGCTGCACTAGCCGCCATGTCCTGTGGCTTCGCAGAAAATCCATCTCTGATATCATCGCTTGCTGCCACTGACTGCAATTCGGTGAGCGTATAATCTCTTTGTATGTTTTAACGTTCTCGTCAGCTGTTTCAGCGACCAGACAAAATAGCGCGCAATTCATTCTGGTAGCGCACCACCTCACGACGTCTACGGACTGGCCAGATGCCGGAATCATCTTCCTCATCACGACCGGGTGCTGACGACAGCTACGTTGGGATCGATAAGACTGACAATGGTGGCGTCCATGGCACAATTGTACTGTTGTGTGTAACTTCCATTATAGCATCCGATTTGCTATGTAGCTTAGCCGGATAAGACGCCAGCTGACTATGATCATTATGGTAGCCTCGCACGATCATTATTTAGATCTGGGACCACATCGATGATATGCGGTACAGCGGTTGTTACGCACGGTTGCGTGTCTTCAATATTTCGCAACTGGTAGACCCGGCTGTCTCCTCAAGTGTTACCCACCGAGAAATGATAATCTTTTCTGTTGCCGGATTAAGAAGCCGGTATCCCTTCTGTTTGCGGAGATATCCCAGAGAGAAACATTTCACTGCTGTGTCTTCAAGCTTGCTGCGCTTCGACCTGGGCACGTGCGCATACGCTACACATCCAAAAATTTGTATCCAGTCGTGCTGAGGCCGTCGCTTGTGCAGCTGTCCATAGGGGAACTTGATCTGGCCAGCTGATGGGATAGTATTGCGATCATCTGCAGCAGCCACCACAGCTTTCGCCCATTATTGTTTTCCGAGTCCACTTTTCTTTAGCATGCAGCGTGCCATCTCGAGCAAAGTGCGGGTGAGGTGCTCACTCATTCAACTTCGCTCCGGGTTGTACGGAACCGTGAGCTGCTGTATTACTCCAATTTTCTCACTGTATGTCTGCAAATCTTTGCTGGTATACTCGTCGCCGTTGTCACTTCGTAAAATTATAACACATGTGTCTGATGATGCCTTGATGTAGGCCCGAAAGCTGATGAAGTGTTGTAGGACTCCGGACTTGACATGCATCGGATAAACCATCAAGAAACGTGCCGACATCACAGTGTAACGTGACGAAGTAGCGAGAATCTGACACAGATGATGGGATGATCGGCCCGGCGACGTCCGAGCATATGACCCCAACACGCCGCTCGTATTGCTCCTTCAATGCCTCCCCCCTCGAGTTGTGGGAATGGGGCGTGTGTCTGCTTTCACAATGCGCAAACCTTGCAGGTTCCCGTCGTATCGCACACTTTTGTCTTGGAGCCCGGTGCTCCCGAGCGAATGAGCTCGCTGACTGCGTGGCGCGACGTGTGACCGAGCTGGGGATGCCAAAGCTCACCGCTAACGGCCAGATGGCACTCTGGTGCATCTTCAATATCAAGCGTA